CTTTCAAAACTTGAAATTAAAAGCTATATTAACAACCAACAAATTTTTCAGAATAACAGAACGTAAGTCCCCGGAAACGGCGCCAAAAACTTGACTCGCTCGAAACTACACCACAATTGAACCGCAAAGGAAAGAGTATGTGGTCGGAGACCACAGTCTCGATTGCTAAACCGAGGTGAGGATGAAAGGTCGTGTCACTCGACTCTCTCGGTTTAGACAATCGGTAATCGGCTTACTCAACCTAGTTTAGGTGGCTTGGAAAGCGGAAGGAAAACCAACTCGATTGAGTCTCCCATAAAAATGAGGATTTTCCTCTCTAAACTAGGTTAAGTTGGCAAATTAGATTACTAGCACCTAAATGCAGAAACTTAGGGGTGTTAAGCACAATTATGCATATGCTATCTTCGTACATCAAATTGTGTAGATAAAATCTTTCTTTCTTCAAATCCCTAGGATGCTAAGCACAACATATCCACAACCCCTAAGTTTCTAAGCACAAGCATGCAAAATCATGGTGAATAATGCCTCAAACATTAAATTGAACAATACACAATATCAATCATCCAACCCACATACAAGAAACTACATGGTAGAGTTAGGGTTTCACTACACCCAAGTGAAAGGAGGACTACTCCATGGAATAAGTGGGAAGAACAAAAGGGAAAAAGGTGGAAACCATCTTTTGGGGATGCCTCCTCTCTTCTTCAACCTTGAGCTGGGATTTCCTTGGGGAAATCTTCCCAAAATCTGCCTTTGAAGCCAAGCTATAACCTCTTTTTCTCTTTTGGTTCTGTTTCTCTCACTAGAATGCTGAAGAAGGTGTTTCTCTCACAAAAGTGGCTCTCCCTCTCTCCTCCTTGCAGCTCAGCTTTTAAACCTGAGAAGAGCTGAGTTCACGGCCTGAGTTCACAACCTTGAACCATCAAACGCGTCCGTGAACTCGAGCCTTGCGCCAAAACGCTCCCCATCGCTCACGTCAGTTCACGGGCAACTGCTTGTGTTCACGGTCTTAGTGACCGTGAACTCGTCTTGCGTCAGTAACCTTCAACTTGGCTCTGGACGCCTTGCGCTTCACGGTCAACTCTCCTTCTTCACGGTCTTGCACGATCGTGAACTCCTGCCTTTAGCCGTGAACTTGCGCTTTTTCACCTCTTCTCCCGGTTTTTTATCCTTTTCGCCAATCTTTCAACTTCGAGGCTGGTTCCACCTATTAAATCCTGAAAAGCACTCAAACACGAAGAACCTCGCGTAAAACCAACCTTTAATGAGCGAATTGGGCACAAACATCTAAGCAAACCGGGGGGAAAATATGTGCAATTAGACTCGAATCATTGACACAAGAGATCGGGTGAGCATATCCTGCTCGGTCCAAAGTTGAAAAGTCTCCTGGTAGTAGGAGCGGATGTCCAGATCCCCTGTTGCAGTCGGGCAAGATCAAGTTCGATGTCGAACTTGCGGGAAGCACTCACGTGAGTATGGAGAGTGACAACATGCTGCCACATAACATTGGCCGTCGAAAATCCATGCAAACTAAGACTAATGGAAGGTTCAACAGACCCAAGGATCCAGCTGATCACCTGCACATTACTCGTGGCCCAAGTCGCCAGCAGCTTGGGGTCGGTGTCTGTCGACGGGGCCTTGGCCGTAACATCAAGAACCGAGAGCATGCCTCGTCCTTGCACAAACATCTTGAAGTGGAATTCCCATAAAGGGAAATTATTCCCATTCAAACGAACAGAGATGGCGTCAATCTTGGAGGAATTCATGTAGAAAAGACAGCACGGGAGATCGGAACCACACAGAAGCCAAAAACAAGAAGAAATCCTGAAAGTAAGTGAGCAGTTGCAAGACACACAAGAGGCAGCACACGAAACACTAGCTACAAGATTCAATAGGCTCTGATACCATGTCAAATATAATCGTGAACGGGAATTCAAGAACACAAGATGAGAATTATGTGGTTTCCCCAATGTTGATTGTTGGGACTAGTCCACGACACCAGGCATAAATATTTTTATTCACTGTGTTTCTGTACATCATTCGACATCTCTCCTCATCAATATATACGAGCAACCTAACCCTACGTTAAGGACCATTATCATACTAACTCCTAATTAATATGGCTAATTACAATAAGATATTATAACTTCTAACACTTTTCAATTATATATATGGTAAAAACTAGAAACTAGTATACTCCAAAGTATAGAATAATTCAGATGATCTGGGCATCTGGCTGTTATATGTATTTCGTTGAGTTCTGATCAATCTAAAAAGTTAATTATTGTTTTCTATTAAATTGAACTTCGAATTTGAGCTTAGAGAATCATGTGGGGTGTTCTTTATCATACCAAGGGTAAATATAAGATATCTCCTACCTTTAGCAATAAAACACTATCTAGACGTTGAATTAATAATCTAAATGAGTTTGTGAGATTATATTATACCATAACCTAAATGAGTAAACCATAAGTCCTAGTTTTGTAAAAGCTAAACTCTGAACCCTCAGATGGTGCATCTAGTATGTTAGATATATTTCAAGAAATCTTAACTATTAGTTATTGTTTCTAATTAAATTGATTTTGGATACATTATTAATAGAACTATTACCTGTGTTTTACTTATTAGAGCATCTGGCATATTACCAACTTCTTCAGAGACCATATTCCAAATTCCTAGCCACGACGTTGTCAAATAGAAGTTCCGTGACATCTAATATCACGAGGTTAGGTTTGAATTTGTATCGCCGGGACAATTTTGTCATCCTATCACGTACGTTGTCATCACCAACTGAATAGATCAACACACATATATGTCAAATATCGCAAACCTTGGTTGATACTATTGGCCTCAACTTGCAGAGGAAAACAACAAAAACCAATATGCATGAATTCTATCCGTCTCGTCCCTTAGTTTGTCCGTTGTTCATATTGAGAGAGAGGAGGAGAAGAGGCAATATCGTTGTCTTACGGTTGGCTTATCCTTACATTACGCGAAACGGACAGCGCCCTAGAAAAGCTTTTCGTACGTATTTATCCAATTGACTGACGACTATGCAGCTTGTGGTCGATTTATTATCGTCGTCCACCATGGTCTACGTACGTACGTACCCAATTTCTTCCGTTCACATTACGTCACATTACGTTTGTACGTTGTCATGATCTCTTATGTTTAGCGCATGAAACTGGAAAAGTGAAGGGTTAATACCTTATTTTGACCTGAACTATGATCATATAATCAATTTTGACCCTTGGTTTCAGAAATTAATATCCCGGCCTCAACTATGCAGCATACAGACTCAATTGGCCCAACACATGATTTGACCGTTAATTTGGACAGTCAACATGCCATGTCATTGCTTCGTCACCTTAAAAATCATTAAAAAAATTCAAATTCAAATTATTTTCTAAAAATTAACCAAAAAATAAAATTCAATATAATTTGTTAATTTTTGGTTAATTTTTAAAATTTATCGTTTCAAAAAATAAAAAAATAAAAAATAATTATTTTTTTTTATTTTATTTTTTATTTAATTTGATAATGGTAAATAATAGAAATTAGGAAAATCATTTGAATTTAAATTTTTTAAAGATTTTTAGGCTGACGAGGCAATGACATGGCGTGTTGACTAACGGTCAATGGTGTTGCCCGTTCAAATTAACGGTCAAACCATGTGTCGGGCCAATTGAGTCTATATATTGCATAGTTGAGGCTAGGATGTTAATTTCAGAAACCACGAGCCAAAGTTGATTATATCATAGTTCGAGTCCAAATAAGATATTAACCCAAAAGTGAAAGAAACTTTAATGACTCCCTCCGGAAGACTTGGGGACTTCTGCTTTCTTATTAGGAAAAAATATGTCTAACAAGCCGTGTTATAAGAACCGGCCCAAAGTACGTAGTGGCGTCGGATGAATAGAACCGTTAAATCAATTACGGTGATGGTTCGGTTTGTTTGTTTGTACGGTTAAGGATAGATCGAATTTTTTTTTTATATTAACGGTTGGACATGAATCTGGATGGACCACTCCGATTAGATTGATCCACTATTTTAACAATAAAATTTTTTGTTTCAAAAAAGTACTATGATGTAAATTAAGACAATCAAACCCTAGTTACTAATTTTATTTGTACTTTCTATTCTTTGTTTCCTGGCCTTCTCGTCATCTTTACTTAATCTGATTCAGGTCCAAACATACCGGAAAATTGGGGAGTGAAGAGCAGGGATTGTAGAGGGAGAGAATGTGGATGCGTGGCCAAAAGAAGATGGATATCCGAAGGCCAAGTGAAGGAGTCCAGACCCAAAAAGTGGGGCTACTTGTTTTAGCTTCTGATCAGTCGTTTGGAATTTTGAACAGAATCGTGCATAAACGAGCAAAAATGTGTTAAATGCTTCTGACCATTTTTTCATGAGTTTGACCACCCTTTTACACATATATTTTTACCCAACTCACTTTGGTGAGCCTAAAACTTAAAAACTTAAGTTTTTATGCTTTACGGAGAGTTTTCACTATATCGGGGGACAGGTTATGGTGGATACTTAGTGTTAGTAACTACCGTGGTTACTAGAGATAAGAAGGGTATTTTGCTTCCATCCTAATTCAAACTACCATTTTAATTACGCAATTAATTAGGGAGAGATAATTACGATAACTAATTATTAGGTAGTTTAATCAACGTAGGGCTTTCCAAAGTCCCCGATTTTTTGCCGGTCCCTATTTCTGCCTTGTACACGTTATCGGAGGGGAAAAATGGCGATCGTCGACGTCGCACCATCGCCGGATGTGGTAGAGGGTAGAAGGCTAGCAATGGAGGTGCTGTTCGGAGAAAGTCCTATTTCTGGTGGCGAGGAAGAGGATATGGCGATGCAAAGCGACGACGGTAAGAATCTAACTCATTCATGATTATATGCTTTCGCTTGAATGGCAAAATATTGATATCCCTTTTGGTCGGCAAACCCTTGCAAAGGGTCAGGTATCGTCGGAGATCAAACTGTGGAAGAAGGCGGCGCTTGTGACAATTCTGACGAAGGTGACGTTTTCCACGTTCATGTTGAGGGTGTGTTCATTACGTACTTGTTTCGGATTGGTATTGTTACGTACTTGTTTCGGAATAATGGTAGTCCTTACATTGGTATATGTTGGATTGTTATTGGTAGTTCGTAACGCATTGGTATTTGTTTGAGTGGATTGGTATTGGTTCTGACTTTTGTATTAGCTACTACAATGGTAGTGATTTTTTGTTATATTTGCATCAAATGGTAGTGATTTGTTAGTGGTAGTATGAGTTATTGCAATGGTAGTGATTAATTGTTGTTCTACAAATTGCATATCAGGTGTATAAAGTTGTCCCAGATGACAAATCGACATGGCAGCATTTGAGATTTGAAAATAGGGAAGCATTTGTCAAGTTCTACAAAGACTTCGCACACTGGAGGGGTTTTCGAGTAAGACGTATTGGACAACAGACTCGAAAACCCAAATATCTTAAGGAACGGAAGGGAAAAGGGTTTTGGGAGCTGTGTTGATAAGGAAAGACAAACAATAAAGAAGGGAAGCGTGGGGCAAGTAAAATCTCGTCTGATTTCGGGCCCAGTAAGGAAGGAGATGATCATGTGGGTCCCTTCCGAAAACACCCTTAAGCAAAGTGGGCCCTCAGATTGGATTTACATAATCTGTATGGCCAAAAAGGAGGTAGCCATGGTGGCTACTTAAAAAAAAAGAAACCAGGCTAACGCATTCCCTATACCAGGTATTTATGTCTAATATTTATTCTCAATAATCATATCTTACACGGCTAAAAGTTAAGGGATCATATATACATAAATGCATAATCTGCCTTTGAACACTTCTACTGTGCTTTAAAGTACAACTTAAAACTGTACTGTAAAGCTACAAATTGAACTTGTACCATAAGAAAAATTGGCATTTAAGTTATGGTACAACTTCAAGTTATACAATTTGTATCATAACATAAATGTAAAACTTTAGTTTTTACCATAAAGAAATTTTTCAAAATAGTATAGGTACAACTTCAGATTGTACCATAACATTAAAGGTACAACTTAAAGTTGTACCATAAAGACAAAAACTACAACACCAATATTTTAAAAAATTGTAAAATTCCTCTTCATCCTAGGGCCTTATCACATATGTGCTTAGATTTTGTTTTGAAGAACTTATCATATATATCTAAGAAACGTTCAAATATAGCAACTGACACTGAAATTTGATCGATTAGCTTGACTTCCTTCTTCGGACTATTTTAGTTACATAGGAAATAGAGGAATACCGTCACTATCATGACCTTAACTAGGATATCATAATCTATGTAGAGATAATATATAATGACAACAATCATATATATAAATTAACTAATCATCCTTGTTTTCCTCCCTTCCACTGCTCCCTTGCTCGATATCGTCATCTGATCAAGTTAATTAAATAAATTAAGTGCAAGGAGACCTGATCAGCAGATCCCAAATTAATTAATCAGCTTCATAATCAGTGCAGTTGTGTTGTGAGATTTATGGAATTTTATTTCTTGAGTTCACACCCAGCAATATTTAAATATTATTGCTGATATCTAAATAAAACGCGATTTGTCAATGTTCATAATTCCATACATAACTCAATACTGAATGCTTGAATTGAAAAACCTGATGACGACATATATTGGAACCAAAGCTAAAAGAAAGAGAGTGATTTCTATTAGATAAATACTATGCAGCATTGTTTGCACTCACTAAACATACTTACCCTTTTAGTTCTGTAGTTATGTTTATTCTTATGGATTGTCATTTGTAGTCGTATTTAGATCACCAATTAACTTCATAATCACAAACATTTTTATTGACACTTTTAATCAAACAAAAACATATTTTCCAAAAGTGAACTTATCTAAAAGCGTCAGCCAAAATTTTAATTTGTAGAAGTTAATTAAACCTCGTCCGAACGAGACAAGCTAGGCTATATGTTAATCCTTGTGGGGTTTGGAGTATGAACAGAGAGAGGTTAGAGTTGGCATATATTCATAAATGTCTCCCAACAAAGGAGGGATCGGGCCTGCCTTTAGGGGTACATATCTTTATGTATCTTTATGGGAAGACCTATATATATGTATGATCAGACAGAGTACAATTAATATATTTATGGGAAGACCTATATATTTAGCAAATGAAAGATGGTCAGATTGATGAAAATGAGGTAGGGAGAGGGAAGAAAGTATAAGAAATTGGATACAAGTTTGCGGTTAGGTTGACAATGAATGAATGAATGATGGAGGGCTTTTTGCTTTGGGGTCTTCGTTCATTTGTTATTTATACATTTCCTCCATATTAGTTAGTCCTCTTTTGCATAACAAATTGTCATATTTTGCCCGCAGGAGCCAGCTAGCTAGTCGCTGCCTACCTTATGGAATAGCAGACATGGAGAAGTTAATTATTAATTAATATATATAAAGCGGAATCGCAGATATGAAGAAGTTAATTATTAATTAATTAATATATATAAAGCTGAAGTTAGGTTACTGTTGTTTAACAATTTACATTTTGATACCCAAATTTAATTAAATTATAATTCAGTTATTGTAATGTAAATTTTGTATTTTGATACTAAAATTTAATTTTAATATAAAATTATTGAATAATTATGTTTTGGTATCTAATTTTTATGAGATTTTTGTACCAACACTTTATAAAATTTACATATTGGTTCAATATTTAGGTATCTACACATATCAAATAAGTTCCCATTTTTCTATAAAAAAGTAAACAATTATCATCTTAAATACATCACCATAAAATGAATTAAACCTCAACCATGCAAATTACAGTTCGATATATAAACTTAATTAACATATCTTTAGATTTATAACCTAAATTTATTTTTGCATATAAGTCCTCAAAATATTGATGGAACATTACATTTTAGTGCCTAAAATTTTTGTGTACTACATTTTGGTACCTAAACTATTGAAGTTCTACAAATAGGTCTAATTTTTGTATGTGTAATGAAAACACACTCTAATAAATGGGTGTCCACACCCAACTCATACACATTTAGATTATGAAAGTAAATACTCATACCATACCCAAAGTCCCAAGCCCATCTACAAACTTCCAAACTCATATATACGTCACCCATACTCTAACCATAATCAAAGGGTCTACTTGGGTTTAGGTACATATCATTTATTAGTCAAAATTTTCAAATTTTTTTAAATAGGATGTTGACCGCTATATATCTCTTCTCAATCAATATCATATTGTCGAGTCAATATTACTAACAAAAACTGCTAACAGAAAATAAATTTTAGGCTAATAATACTAAAAAATACCATAATGGGCCACATAATACATGCCCATAGGCCATCTCCGCCCCGCGACAAGGCGCGACATCGCTACCTAGTATATATATATATATATATATATATATATATATATATATATATATATATATATATATATATATATATATATATACACTGTTACCTACCAATTTTGCTAATTGATACCCCAAATTTAATTAAATTACAAGTTAGTCACTATAATGTATATTTTATATTTTGATACCCAAATTTAATTTTAATGTAAAATCATTGAACAATTATATTTTGTTAATTTTTATGAGATTTTCGTACCTATTACATATTTATCCAATGTTTAGATTTTATTCGAACCCATGAATCCAATCCACCAATCCATAAAAGTATAAATTTAGTTTGTACAATACAAGATGTTGTATAAATTTTTATGAGAAGATTCGACCATTTAATATTTGCTCATTACGTGAAATATTAAATAAATAATAAAAGAGATACGACCCTAAAATATTGCAAGAGCGAATTTATAAACTCATTTAGTACATTTATGGGGTACTTAACAAACTTCTACTAACTACATATAACAAAATATGCGATATATATCTACATACGCAAGTGTCAATAAATTGCTACAGTGAAATGGGTTGCTTGTTGTATTGATGACCAACTAAAGAATTTGTCAAAACATTTCCATCATCTACTTCCTTTTCGTTTCATTTTTCACTCGCCTTCAATAACCCTTTCTTTATTCTTTTTTTTTTTTTGCCTTCTTCGTCTAACCCTAATTAGTATACTGTTATTATGTATTCTAATCACAAGTATGAACGGGTCAATACACGACTCACCAAAAGTCTAGAGAACTAATAATTGAACTGCTAACTTTTTCAACTCAATGTCGAGTCAAATTAAAAATAGATATACATGATTATTACTTATTAAAAGTCATTATTTTCCACTATGGAATTGAAAGGCGCGAAATTTTAAGTGAGTTTCAGTTTGTATTCCTTTTGCTTCTCTCTAGAGTTTTTCTTTTTCACCCGGGCTAGAATTTTCAACAATTATACATGGAATGTTTGGCTAGAAGGTATTTACACATATCAAATAAATAGTTTCCATTTTTCTATAAAAAGTAAATTAATAACTTCTTAAATACATCACCACAAAAGGAATTAAGTAGACCTCATTGTGGGATTTGAAGGTTACTGCTGCTGGAACTTGGATTTGGAAACGAATCCTGAAATGCAGGGACTCAACTCGACCTTTTGTATCTTGCAGTGGGACTGAAATGAAGTGTGATGGTGAGCATATGAACCCTTATTTTGTCAAGAGAGTTTGGGAGTCATTGAGGTAGCATGATATCGTGGTTCATTGGTTTAAACTGGTTTGGGGCAAGTTTGTCATTCCTCGACATGGGTTTATTCTCTGGTTAGTGATTAAGGATCGGCTGAAGCTGTAGGATAAACTCTTAGCTTGGGGTAAGCAAGTTTCTGGGATGTGCACTTTATGTCTAGGTGGGGTGGAAGATAGATGGCACATGTTTTCTGCTTGTCCTTATATTCAGCATTTGAATAGGTTGTTTCTGCAGAGGGATTCCCCTCTGGTTTTTGACGATTGGCAAGCTGTTCTGCAGTGGTGTATTAAGGAGTGGAGAGGAGATCTGCCTTTTGCTATCCTCTGTCGAGTGAGTTGGAGTGTGATATTAGCCTTGTGTGGCGTCAAAGATGCTCCAGATTGTATGGTTCCGGAGCTGCAAAGAGTCCCTCTTAGCTTCTCCTTGTTGCTAAACGGAATATTATGAGTCGATGTCTTCAGAATTAAGCCTTGATTGATTGCTTTGATTCTAGGGACTTGGGGTAGAGTTTTGTTTTTTTCCTTTTTTTGCGTTTGTTATGATAGGTTCCCTCTTTGAGGAGTTTTGATGTACAGAAACTGTTTGTACTTGGAGGGCTCCATAGCAATTTGCTATTGGTGTAACTTCTTAATGCAATTTTGATTTAACCATCAAAAAATAAATTACAGTTTTGTACCTAAACTTAATAGATCTTTAGATTTATAACCTTCATTATTTTTTTGGCATATAAGTCCTCAAAATATTTATGAAAATTTACATTTTAGTAGCTAAAATTTGTGTGTATTACATTTTGGCACCTAAACTTTTGAAGTTCTACGAATAGGTCTAATTTTTGTATGTGTTAAAACACCATCGAGTAAATGGGTATCCATACCCAACTCATACACATTTAGATTAAGGAAGTAAATATCCATACTCTCCCAAACTCATCTACAAACTTACATGCCC